TATAAATATGCAGTTTAAAATATTATTTTTTTTCTTTCTATAGTTTTCATAGTCTAAACTAAACAAAATAAAGTCATCGCAGAGAAGAACTTCAACAGAAGCTTAAACAGATTCATGAGGAGATTCTCAGCAAACAGCCTGAACATGTAGAATCAAAAGAACATCACACCAGACTCAAAAACAATCTGAGAAACAAGACGGTAAAAATTAATAACAAACTTTGATTGTGTTTTTGGTATTCATCATTTTGTTCTTCTACTTTATGGTTCAATTTAAAATAGTTGTACATTTTTCTGTTATCTGATTTCTTAAAAACTAAATTATTACCATTTAATCGGATATTTGTTTTAGGTTTTGTTTAAGGGTTGGATATCATGTATCAGACTTCTTTAGGATTCTGTAGAAGTGAAACTAGTCATTAATCGTCAAATACAAAATAAGATTTTAGGTACTGTAGTATTTTTCACCTCGCGGCACCTCAATGTAGTAAGTTAGAGCCCGCTACCTGGACATTCGAAGGGTATGAGTTATGGATTGTGTCTCTGTTTATCCTTCCGATTTATAACTGGAGCTCATCAGGAACGGGAACAAGTATGATCTTTATTTATACAGAACCAAATCATAAACACAAGACAAAACAGTTGGTCTGTGGTAAATGTGGGGAGGGAGAGTGGAAGTGAAACCTCTTTCATTATTCCCTTGTGTAAAGTAAAAGAAAAACAAGTTGACAAAATAAAAAAGTAGACTCGCAGTTAAAATTCTAAAAAATAGATACAAAAGTTACTAACATTTAAATCTTAACAAACTTCTCCATGTCTGATAAAAGTTAAGTTGCAAAAAAATCTCAGCTGTTAAAACAAAGGAGAATCTGGCTTTTAATTCAAAATATAAATACTGTCTTAAGCCATGTTTGCACATGAAATTCTATTATTTTGTACCAATCATCCACTCATGCCAGGATGGGGGGAACTCTGGGTCATTATCAAGTCATTGACAAAAAAAGACAGCTTTCAGTTCCTGAATGTCATGTGCTATATTCCCCGTAAGAAACTTGGTTAATTGCCAATTAGTGGATGGGGTCCTGGGTGAAGTGTTGTTGCATAAGTGTTTGATATTGTAGGCAAACTAGTTTTTAATGTTTCTACTTTCCTTCTGTAGTTGATGAAGTATTGTTGTCTAAGTTTTTATCTATATAGAAATATCTACATAAAGACAAAAAATGCTAAGAATTGTGTAAGTCCATTATTTTCATCACTCTCACTCTGCTGAAAGATTCACTCCACCTTTATGATGAAAGTTTCAATTCTATGTATTCATTTTATTCTTTTAATGGTTGGAGACAGCTTGAATGGGTAATGAAGAAAAACTTCATGGTACTTGATGATGACAAAACCTTGTCGAAACGTTGTACATTTGCTGTTATGTTAAACTTATATTAAAGTTTTTCTTCATTACCCATTCAAGCCGTCTCCAACCATTATTAGTCTCAAAGTGGATTCCTCGTCATCGAAATCAAATTTTATTCTTTTGTTGTTGCTTTTTTGTATTTTACATTGACCACTGAAGCAGTATTGTAGTTAACCCTAAAATTAATGACATATATTTAAACACATTTTTTTTAAAACTGTTAATCAAATTGCTTTTTGGGTACAGGATTCCTAATAAGATGCAAATTACATACATAAAAAATCAATAAAGCAGTTAATACTACCAGTTACTGTTTGTGTATCTTGTATAAAAAATTATTTATTTTATCCAGTTGAGTGTTGTAAGAATCAAAAACATAAAAGTATTCAATGTGATGAAATATGTGAACCCCACTGGTTTAAAAATGAGTCGGTAACATGAAGGTTAATACTTGTTATTTTATAGAGAGAATTGAAAGCTATAGAGAATGAGATGCATGCTGTAAAAAAAGAAAAAGAAGGTCTTATTATAAAAATTGAGGAACTAAGAAAAGCGTAAGTTGTTTTTTTTTCTCTTAACATATAAATTGATAAAAAGAAAGGGGCATCTGGCCGTGAGAAAATCGTCAAAGAGAAATACCCGACAGGTTTCGTGTTACTATTGATTAAAATGGTCATAAAATATTTCAGAAAATACCAAGGTCATCATCCTAACCCTAAGCAAATAAGTCGGTTTATTTGACTGACCTTTTAACCTATTAAAGTATTTTTATTACAGATTTGTGAATTTACGAAACATTTACTGAATCAGTCTGAGTGAAAGATGATTTTCATGCTCAGAATACTTCCACATATTTTATAGTTTTCACGTTAAATTTGTTATATTTTTCATTTAAAGTTTATACATCAATATCCAGTGAAAAACATGAAGTAATGAACAATACTATTTTTTTATTCTGTAATAACTGCAAATTGTAACAGACAATCAAAGTTACTTATCTTAATTCCCGCCTTCTGATTTGTTTTAATTTTATTACCTTACAATGTACTTTAGACCCTCTCAATGGGACAGCTCAATGGAAACAAATGGATCAGGTTATGTTACTTTAATATATAACAATAAACAAACAAGTAAGGAAAAAAAACAAGCAATATATATCAACGGGACAGCTCAATGGAAACAAATGGATCAGGTTATGTCACTTTAATATATAACAATAAAAAAACAAGCAATTTGGGACTTACATTAGAGTTTTGGGCTACTTGTACTCGAGAACCTGTTTTAATAACAGCTCTTTTTTTTTTCAAACATTTATTTTAGAGTACAAACGATATATTCGGCTCTAGAATAGAATGTTCCAAAACTATTATATTTTAACTGGCCTTCTAACTGATTGCACACAGTAAATTTCAAAGTAAACTGTCGATATGGCCACCAAAATAACTGTATAAGGAATTTTTTAATGAAAAATATGCTCTTTATGTTGGTTATAAATATGTCGAATAGCAATGCAAGAGTGAATTATAGACATATCTTGAAAAACAGAAAAGTTTGTAGAGGTGTATCGTGTGGTTGAAATAAAAATAATGATATTTTAATAAAGTAAGAGATTTATTGTGGTTTGTCAATATCTATAGCACATATTTTTAATTAGTTGAACACTAAAACCTACATAAAGGAAGAGAGAAAATCCGTAAATGTTTCGCGTGACACGAAGAGGTGGATATTGAGAATTTATTTAAAATATTTCAATTTGAAATTAAAACTTATTAAATAGTAGAAATATTTAGATGCCAAGCTTATTGACATATGTTAACAATAAAGTAGGTTAGTTGGATTTTGAAAAAGGTTATGGCATATGCACTTTGACCTTGGCTGAACCCATATACGTAGCATTAATGAAAAGTTCCATAGGTTTTAAAGATGATAAAACTGTTAAAAGATTATTAATATTCATATAATTATAGTATATCTTTCAGACAACTATTGTATTTAGTTTAACAACTATGATATATATATTTCAGACAACTGTAGTATTTAGTTTAGACAACTATGGTGTATACTTCAAACAACTATGGTATATACTTCAGACAACTATGGTGTATACTTCAGACAACTATGGTGTATACTTCAGACAACTATGGTGTATACTTCAGACAACTATGGTATATACTTCAGACAACTATGGTGTATACTTCAGACAACTATGGTATATACTTCAGACAACTATGGTATATACTTCAGACAACTATGGTATATACTTCAGATAACTATGGTATATACTTCAGACAACTATGGTGTATACTTCAGACAACTATGGTATATACTTCAGACATCTATGGTGTATACTTCAGACAACTATGGTGTATACTTCAGACAACAATGGTATTTAGTTTAGACAACTATGGTATATACTTCAGACATCTATGGTATATACTTCAGACAACTATGGTATATACTTCAGACAACTATGGTATATACTTCAGACAACTATGGTATATACTTCAGACAACTATGGTATATACTTCAGACAACTATGGTATATACTTCAGACAAGTATATATCTCTTTATGTTTATTGCATGTGTTGCATTAAGTTGTATAAACATTTATCTAGTGGACCAGTGGATTATGTTGCTCAACGGGAGGAACGGTTAAGAAAAATGCAGCTGTTAGAAGATGAGAAACAGAGGCTTCACTCTCAGCTTTCAACGAGTAAGCTTCATCTAGAGCAGCTAAAGAAGTCAGTGCTTCATTACGCTGAAAAGGAGGATAACATACAGTAAGTTTCTTAGTTGTAAGATGTAGTTATAACAGTTTTTCTTTCTACATAAATGTATCAGTTTAGATAATTCCTATTCTCTTGCTTGACAATTTTTACCTGCTGATGTCGTGGATCAGGTTTATTATACAAACTTGTATGTATCTTCTAAATATAGCGTGAAAAATGTAGCCTTGCTGTTCATTTATTTCAAATCTGTGTAGCATTATGAACCAAACAGTTTTCTTTGAAACGTACAAGTAATTGAATTTAGTTTTTCAAATAATCATAATTACTGTTTTTTTTAACTTTCGTTTCGTCTAGGACTGAAAAGCAGGGGCTGGAAATGGAATATCGGGCTCTTAATCGTAAGGTGCAAGACCTGGAAGCTAGTCGAGGAAACCAGCTAAGGATGTTTGGAACACAAGTTCCTGAATTAATAACGAAAATTAATGAAGCATATCAACAAGGAAAGTTTAAAAAAAAGCCTCGTGGACCAGTAGGTAAGCAGTTGCTGAGTTTGATGATAATTTAGACCAATAGTTAAGTAGTTACTGTGTTTGATGATACTTTAGACCAATAGTTAAGTAGTCACTGTGTTTGATGATAATTTAAACCAATAGTTAAGTAGTTACTGTGTTTGATGATAATTTAAACCAATAGTTAAATAGTTACTGTGTTTGATGATACTTTAGACCAATAGTTAAATAGTTACTGTATTTAATAATGGTTGGAGACGCTTGAATGGGTAATGAAGAAAAACTTATATTGTTACCAGAGTTTTATTTTATTTTTATTTTTTTTTCTGGTTTGTTGACAGATTAAAGCACTACTAAAAGATATGTGTTAAACAAAATTTTATTTTCTTGTATCTAGGATCTTGCATTCATCTCAAAGATCCAAATTGGGCTCTTGCTGTTGAGACGTGTCTTAAGTCATTGATGTTTGCTTTCTGTTGTGACAACCATCACGATGAAAAAGTTCTACAAGATTTAATAAATAGAGTTCTTGTAGATGGAAGAAAACCTCAGATTATTTGTGCCACTTTCCAGGAAAAGGTTGGTAATATCATTCTTTCTTTTTAACAGCAATAGCCAGATCCTAGGATATCAACTATACCACTTTCCAAGTAAAGGTTGATAATATCTTTCCTTCTTAACAGCAATAGCCAGATCCTAGGATATCACTGATACCACTTTCCAAGGAAAGGTTGATAATATCTTTCTTCATAACAGCAATAGCCAGATCCTAGGTTATCACTGATTCCTCTTTCCAGGAAAAGGTTGATAATATCTTTCTTTCTTCTTAACAGCAATAGCCAGATCCTAGGATATCAACTATACCACTTTCCAAGTAAAGGTTGATAATATCTTTCTTCATAACAGCAATAGCCAGATCCTAGGATATC